TAGCAATATATATATAAATATTATATATAAATACATTAGATGTGTAAATATATATAGAATATATGAATAAATATATATATAGAATAATATATATGTATAATATATCAAATATAAATTTTATTATTTTTAAATATATACCTATATATATATATAAATATATATTTATTTAATAATTTGAATAGAGAATCTGAAAAATATTGCATTTAGGTATATATATATATTTAAATATATATATATTATATTTAATTTTACAAATTATAAAACATTATTTTTTTTTAAAGAAAAAATTATTTCTGTTACCAAAATATTATAAAAAATATATATTATATATAGTTTTATATCATAATAAAATTATAAAATTATATAATATATATATATATATATATATATATATAAAAAAATAAAAAAATATATTATTTAATTAAAATGAAATAAATATAGAAGTCATATTATTTAATTTAAATAAAAGACATTAATTTAGATTATATTTACTGAAAAATATTTAAAATATTAATTGATATAAATTTATTTGGGATATGGTTAATTATATTTTATTTTATTTGTTATATAATGCAAATCAAATATTGATATATTGTTTTAAGTTTTTTTCAAATTGAATTTAATTTTTCAAAAATTTTATAAAACATTAAAAAAAAAAAATTTTATGAAATGAAAATTTGCAAATTTAAAAAAAAAATTCAATTTTTTTATCTTTTTTTCATGAAAGTAAAATTTGAAAATTTAAAACAAATTAAAAAAAAAAGAAAAAAATAAAAAATAATAAATTTATTAAGTTCAAATATTTTGAATGATATCTTTTTTAAATGAAAGAAATAAAAGAAATAAATCAATCAAGAAAAAAAAATTAAAAAACATAATTTTTTTAAAAAATATGTTTGAAAATTTTTGCTTATACATTTTTTGATCCAGAAATAAAGAAATGATATTAAATTTAGTTGAAAATAAAAAATTAAAAATATAATTTTATTATATTGGCATAAATATATATAATATAAGAAAATAAACCAATATTTATTTAAAATTATATATAAATAAAAAAATTTGATTTTCAATGTTATAAAATAAAAAATTTTATTCATTTTATCAAAAATACAAAATTATAATTTCAAAAAAAAATCCAAATTTTTCAAAATTTATTTTTCATGTAATTTTTTTTTTTTAAAAGTCTGGAAAATTTCAAATTGATAAAATTTCATTTTTTTCATTTTCTTTAAAAAAAAAAAAAAAATGAAAAACCTTTTAAAGAAAAAAATAAATTGTTGGAAAACCCATTAGTATAAATCTGAATTTTTAATTATTTTGAAATTTTGTATAAATTATAAAAACAAAAATAATTTTTTTTTGAATAGAAAGATAAATAAAAAATATTTAAAATTTTAAAAAATTGAATATTTTAATCATGTTGGAAATGTATAAATTAAATGAAATTCGGAATGCAAGTCTTAATTTTTGTTTTAAACCAGAAAAATTAGAAATTTGTTATTAAATATACAAAAATTTAAGATTAAATACTTTTAAATTATATAACAAAATTGATAGAAAAAAAAATAATGGAACGAAAATAAACAATTAGGAATTTTTAAAAATAATATACAATTTTGAATTCTCAATATTCAGGACATCTTATTGTTTAGTTTTATGAAATAATCGAAAGTAAATTTTGATTATTTAAATCATTATTTAAATTTTTAAAAAAATTTTATTTAAGAGATGACATAAAAAACTTTTAAATAAGAAAAACAATTGGAAAAAAATCTTAATAATGTGATTTAAATATATATATTCAATATTTATATTTAAATTATTGAAATTTTTGAAACATTTGTTTTTAAAAAATTCATATTAAAACAATATTATTGCAAAATTTACAAATATAACATAAATAATCAGTTTGAAAAAAATTTTTAAGAAAAATTTAAATTTTTATTAAATTTTTTATAAAAAAGATTTTTTTTTTTTTTTCAAAAGATAATTGATTTTTATATTTATAAAAAAAAAATATGATTAAAAAAAAAACGGTATAAAAAAATTCAAAAAAGGAATTCCGGTAAAAAAAAAATAGAGATCTTGTCATTTACCTTTTATACAAAATAATTTAAATATTATAATTTTTATGAATATTTATTTTTAAATATATATAACGTTTTATATATTCAAATAATAATTTATTTGAAAAAAAAAAGAATACATTTTTATAGATAATAATTTAAAATATAAGCTAATATAAAAAATTATTTTATAATCTTATTAAATGATCTTTAACATTTTAAAAAAACAAAAGTTTAAATTAAATCATTTTTATAAATTCATTTTTTTTATTATCTATTTTTTTCTTTTTATAAATTAGACCTATAATTATATATATTTTTATAAATATAAGAAATTTATAATTATAATATATGAAATTATTTTTAAAAATAAAATAAAAAGTTTTTTATATAAATATTTAAAATATAATATAAATTTCTGAAAACTTTTTGACAAAAACTTATTAATTATCTTAATTTGAAAAAACATTTAAAAATATAGCATATATATAAATATATATTTATATATATATTTAGTATATAAAATTCTAATTTTTCGTTGAAATTATATTTAATTATATTAATAAATTTATTTTATTTAATAATATTTCAATACCAAAATTTAATAAATTTCTTTAAAATCCAGATTTGATTATATTTCCAAATATAAATGATAATATAAAACAACAAAATATCTTAAATAAATAAATAAAATATAGAATTATATATATATAATGAAAAGATACATGAAATAGTTTCTGATATAATGTTTTCTTATATGAAGGAGAAATAAAAGAAAATAAAAAAATTTTTATAGATAATATTTTATGTTTTCAAAAAAAAAATTTTTAATATATAAATGTCATATAATATATTTTATGAATATAAATTTTTTTATTGGTAAATATTTTTCCTTCATAATATATAAATGAATAATATAAAAAAATCAAATATAAATCTGCAGAATAAAGAAAACATTAATTTTAATTGTATGCATATTTTAATTTATAATGACATAAATAAAACAAATATAAATTATATATATATATCTTATATTTAAATAATTTAGGTAATATTTTTAATTTTGAATAAAAAAAATAACAAAATACATTACTATTTATTTGAAAAATAAAAAATAAATATCAATATTTAAAATAAATAAAAACTTTTAAATTACATTAAAATTTTATATATAGATAAAAATATTCCAAATTATGAAACAAATATATATAAATAAAAAATATAAATATGATTCTGTTATATATATAAAAATAAAATATATATATATATATATATAAATATATATATAAAATTATTTATAAAAAATCATAAAGACATGGTAAAAAATATAATTCATAAAAATATATAATAAATCGTTATATTACACTTTAAAAATAAATCAATCATAAATCCAAACATTCCCTTATTAATTTTCACAATTTAAATAAAAAAATACACAATTTGATAAAGAACACAAAAAAATACATATAGAAATAACAAAATTATAAAATATATTTATAAAACAAATTACAAGCTAAACGATTTAAAAAAAATATATATATCATATAAAATCCAATAAAATTTCAATTTAAATATAAAAATTATATATATATAATTGGAAAAAATACAATAAAATTAGAATTTATACAACATTATATCAGATGAATAAAATAAATATATACCAAATATATACATTATATATATTGATATGATATAAATATTTTTGATATATATATATATAAATATATATATATATATAATATATATAAACATTTAATATTATATATTTTTCCTCTATATATAGAATAATTAATATCAGTTTTACATGATTTATTTAAAAAAATCATGGATTTATCATAATATATATATATATATAAACCAATATATATATTATATTATATATATTATTCAATAAGGGAGATTTTTTTTTTATTAAAAAAGGAAAATGTTTATATTGTAAACAATTTATATATAAATTTATCCTATAATATGCTCACAAATTTATGATAATGGGAATTTACATGAAAAATTTTCGCAAATCGATTTAGCAAATGATTTGAGACTGAACGCTAAATGATAGTTTGTTGACATAAAATTAAGAAAATGTATTAATTTTAAAAATTTTTAATGTTTATATATGATATATATATATATATATATATATATATATATATATATATTATTGAGAAAGGCATTCGAAAGCTAAATTTCATTGATATTCGCGGTAATTCAGTTGTGCGTTTAAAAATTAAAATATTTTAAAGGCATGCGTAATTGTCATATTCGCAGATTGCACATCAACGTTTTCTTATTGTCTTTTTAAAATATTCACTGACAACCACTTCGAGCCACACACTATATATATATATATATTATAAATTTACTTATTTAAAAAAAATGGTCCCATGACTACACAGGAATTTCCATGTCTCAAAAACGGAAGCTAAAAACTTTTAAATTATAGAATTAAAGTCTCTAGTTTTGTTTCATTTTCAAGCGAAATTGGATAAATCATCTTGAAATTTACTGAGTTTTATAAGCACATACATTCATAATATTAGTTTCTATGGATATGGAGTAACCCAACCATTTTAACAAGGGGTGTTTTGGTATTCTTTTTCACAGACAACTATTGTATCGACATATTAGTTGTTTTCGAAAAGAGGTTAATTCAAGGTAGTGTAGTGGTGCTTTTTCAAACGAATAATGACATCCGCTCAACGCATGTCGTCTGGCCTTTTTCAACGACAGAACACACACACACACACATTATATATATATATATATATATATATATATGAATATTTTCCTCGCGTTAAAACGCACTGAAATATAAAAAAGACTGCTAAAATTAGTATTGTGATATTTGAGTTCGTTTACACGTGGCAAACTGCAATACATGCTCCTTTTCATAAAATCTTATCACGTTTATATTCAATTTATCTGAAAGATTCAACCAATATGTGAGTCTTCCGCAACCATGTGCTTACCATAGAGAATCATCGTCTCTTCGTCCTTTCCTAGGACATTAGCCGCTACGCAAGTATATTCTCCAAAGTCGTTCTCGTCTAAATCGATAATTCGAATGCTCAAAGTGTAGGTGTTGCCAGATTCATCGTAAGGTTCGATTCGATATTTCCAGGATTTCTTCAGTTCTCGCCCATCTTTCTTCCAAACCATAATCCCCAGTGGCACGGCAGTAATCATACAGTCCAAAATTGTCTCCTTTCCCCTTACTTGCCCCATCCGTTTGATGGGTAAGCGCACATCGGGGGGAACTGCAAATATAAAATAATAATAATAATAATGATGCTGATGATAAGAAGAATAAAAAGTAACTACAAGAAATTGCTACGAACATCACCCAAACCCGTTTACAGCGATAGGAGCAGCTGTAACAATTTTGTGGGACTTTGCAATACACGCAGAGACCGTAATCAAAGACCACAAAAACAGAATGTACTTTCTTGTTCACATGGCAGTCCTTGCAGATTATAATGTATCTTTGAAGATCTTCAATAATCTATCTAATTACAAGAACCTTGAAATCGAAAACTGAAAAATGTGGCACGTAAGTATATCAACAATTTCAGTTGTAGTTGGAGCCCTCAGTTTGATTAGAAAAAATTTCCGATAGATTCATTGAAGGGATCCCTGTTAGCCAAGACTTAAATAAATACAAAATGTCCTGCTTTTTACAAAACCTATCACAATGTCAATAATATATTGTTGCGATGCATCTGCTTGTTATATCTTTAATTTTATGAAGGATATTTTCGGCTACATTTACACTTAAACCAAAGACAATTTATTTGCATGGCGCTCTCTAACTCAATAATAATAGAAAGCGCTTCAGCATACACAAACTAAAGTATTGCTATTTTACTATGAACTATTCATATTTACACGTATGTCTTTGTTGTTCGATAATAACGTTTCAATGAACGAAATCTGAAACTTATCAAATCAAATAAATAGACTGAAGAAAATTTGTCAGAACTATTTAGGGACTATTAAAAATATTTTATATTAATTATACAGTTAATGCCAAATATATACTGAACAATAAAAACATTTTTGCGTCAAAAGGCCATCTTATTGTCCTTATGTTTCCTTGAAATAAAACGAATATTTGCACTCAGTTTTAACAATTATTAAATCATTTTCGTGACAATTGAAAGAGAATGAATAAAAATAAAACAATTACCTTCTAAAATAGGAAACGGGTCAAAATATTTTGCTTAAGAAAAATGTTAAAATCTTTGCTATACACAGTATAAAAAATAAATCAAGTATTTAATGAGATTATTCCAGTGGTAAAAATTATTAAATCAGAAATAAATAAATAGTTATTTTCCAAGCGTAGCTTAGATGTGGCACAGGGTCGAAAGTATGGGACAGCCATTGAGGATCCAACTCACTATTTAGTTGTAATTGTTCTAGCGAGATGAGCCCACTAACCATTACACCATCTCGAGGTACCCAATCAGAAATATACATATATCTATACATGTCGTGATTATTTTAAATATAAACATAAATATGTTTTTGCTTCTTGTTTGGATCAAAACTGATGCTTGTTGCAAGGCTTCCGAAAGAGATAAAAAGAATTGTGTCATTTTCTTGATAATGTTTTATGCATTTCTTAATAAAGAATGGCAAAAATTTAGAAAGAATTTATATCAGAAAATGTATTCAAAAGTACAGCAATGCCACAATCAATGACTGCAAGTATAGCAGGAAGAACTTTATTGAGAGGTTGGTTAGTATAATTTCCAGTTATAACTGGCACCCGAAAAAAATGGCGATAGAATATATCAGTTAATTTAATCCCCGAAGAATTAATGATTTTAAATTGTTTTAACAATTGAAGGTGAAAATAAATAAACTTCTGTGTTAAATCTGTGTTGTTATTTTTAACAAACTGCTTCCATGATAACAAAAAGATTTACCGGCAAAATAGCCTGGGGTTCTATTTTACCGCGACTGATAAAATAAGCTTAAAAATACCCTCTTCTTTAAAAATAAGCTAAATTCCACACTATTGTTCATTATTATGGAATAATGTTTATTAACCTTGCATTATTAAATAATTATTATTGACAGAAAGAACAAAAACATACTTACACAATACAGTGACTGCAACCTTACGGTAGGAATTCGGAGGTACACCGTTGTTGGCTACACATGTGTAAATATCGTCACAGTAGCGTGTCACGTTGTGAATGATTAAAACTTCTCCTGGAGGTCCGACCTCTGCACAAGAAATGAAGAAACGATTAAACATTGTGTAAAATGATTTATAAATGAACTGTCACATTAAATATATTATTAGAACTGATATACACACATCTCTTAAGTTAGTTAATGTATTTAAAATGAAGTCTTTCCTGTATTTTTTTCTGTATTCCGTTTTTTGTTAAATAAGTTCTCTACACTAACCGGTGTACTTCATAATTCCAAGAAGAAAAAAATAACCATACCAGAATTGATTTCTATGTCAAACTTTGGGGTGATGATCAAAGTTAGCAAACTAAATAATTGTAACAGGTTTTGTTAAAAAGAATGCGAGCGCAGTTACTGCTTCGCTGTTGCAGGAAATATGGCGACACTAGATTTGAAGTAGCGAGTAGCGATCTGTAGTTCCACACACTGAGATATACACACATATAAATATGAAAACGACTATATCCAGTGCTAATTCCTTTTATCTTGTATTCAGTCATGGTAGACATTCAAACACTCGAGGGGTAAAAATATGTGCTTGATCTTGTCTAGAGATCATCCATATGTAAGAATTTTGTCCCTGAGTTGAGATTCCATTATCAGATAGAGATTAATGGCATAACAAAAAACAAAATAAAACGCTAAATATCAATCTCAACTCGCTATTTCTTGCCAAATGCCAACCACTTAATCTTTTAAGCCATAGCCACCAAGAGGCTTCAGCTATCATTGATACTGAGCGAATGTTTTTTTTTTTTCAAGCACATTATTCCTAATTTTGATAGCAACATGCAAAGTAACTGCCCACCGAATCCGTTTTCAATCATTTCAAACTGAGTTGATACAATATGCGAGACCAATGTAAATATGATTATGGTAGCTATTTCTCTGAAATTATTTATCTAAGTATCGAAATATATTAATAAAATCACGCATGAACAAAGACCAAAATTGTGTAAAGTCAATCATCTAATTAGAAATTTCACTTGCCTCAGATCAGTGATTAAACTTCTGAGCGCCTACATAACCACATGCTAGAGACATACAAATTCGGTATAGCCTCAATTCCTAAGAATTTAGATAGAAATGAGGATAGCTAGACGGGAATTACCATATTGGTCTTAGAAAGAAAAAGGCGGGACTTACGACATTCATCTTTGAAAGTAAAGAATGAAATTTGTAAATGAATTAACTAAAATGATTCATTGTGTAAGTAACTGCGGGTAGCATACCATATCGGCGCTAAAAGTCAAATTATAAAGTGGAGTTCAAATTCTGGACTAGTTGGTCGTGTTGAGTTACTAAAGGGAAATAACTGAAACTGTGATAGCCAGAAAAGACATGACACGTGGAACTGAAAGAATCTATCCAATTGGACGAAATAAAGAATTCGGTTCGAACTTCCAACTTATAGGACCTGAAGAAGGCCGGAGCCTACAATGGCAGAAACGTCATGAATATGACAATAGGGACTCAGGTAATGTAAATAGAACAATGAAAATAGTGCAAATAGCATTAGAATTCAAACAATAATCAGAGGCATATGTTGGTGTTATATTATTATTGTTATTATAGAAATTATTATGAACCGTGAGCAGGGTTAACAGTTTTACTTTATTTGAGGGAAATATTTCTTTAAACACATTCTTGTCAAATGTCGCAACTCATTCATCCATTGATGGGAAACTTGATTATTCGACAAATTGTATTAATACATTCAGTTGACATAGTAATTTTTCTTCTTATATTTCGATCAGGGGTGAAGTTCTCCTTATTAAGTATTTAAAGTCGGTATCTTGAAACTTGCCTTGAGTAACCGTGCTAAAACAACTTCGAAAACAACATATGTCATTCATTTCATTTATTTATAAATCAACATCTCAGTATAAATAATATATGTCATGTTTTAACAGTTTTTAACCAGCTGTTAGAATTATTAAACAACTTATAAGATGATTCCACCATTGTGAAGTTTGGTGAGAAGTTACACCAGTAATTTTAAAAACAAAATATATGCAAAAAGAGGAAAACACAAATGAGGAAATCCATCACAATGTTTGCATAAGGAAATTGCTTTCTATATTGACATGACGCAAAATGGCATTTCATGCAAGGCCGTCGCTTCGTTAGTTACGGTGTTATTCCTGGTTATTTGTAAATTTATTACCCACATAGAGGGTTCTATTTTTCTATTTTGTTGTAGGATGAGAGAAAATTGAATACATAAATGAGAGAAGGCGTTGGTCAATTTAATGACTTCGTTCTAAGCAACAGTGGCATCCTCAAATATTTTCCATTCTTAAAACGTATTTCTGAGAGGCATTTTCCATTGCTTAAAATGCTGTTTCATAAAATTGTATGTTTGCGAATTAATTTGGGCAATATGTTGGATATGTTGAATTCTTTTTTTGTTTAATATACAGAGACATTATATATATATATATATATATATATATATATATATAAGTGCGCAGGTATACAGAAAATAGAACACGTTGGGTGCATAATCCGGGGTTCCTTAGTATTTTTGTTTTTAAGAAGACAATGATCCATACAGAAGTAGAGCTTTATTATAAAATGGAATATATTAATCCCACAATAACGAATTTAGAAAGGACCATGCCTAAAACACACGTAATCGAGAGAGAGTTTATCTCCAAAAATTTCGCTTGAAGATGAAACGGGACTAAACACCACAATTCAACTTAATTTTAATAATTATTTGGGTGGTTTCGGCTCTCGTTTTTGAAACATGAGAACTTTTATGTAGCGAAGGAATCATATTTTAAACAAAAAATATTATATATATATATATATAGAGAGAGAGAGAGAGAGACAGACAGACAGAGAGAGATAGATAGATAGATAGATAGATAGATAAATAGGTAATGTGTATTTGGGCTGCAATCCCTCATTTATAGAAGTTTCATTAAAAATACCTGGCAAGGCAATGAAGTTATTTCATTTAATCTTACTTGTGTTTTTATAAGTTTTCTGTACATTAAATTGCGTAGAAATATTCCGAATGCCTTGTATGCTTGTGCGCTTTCATCTATACTTTAGACATGATCAATGATAAGTTAACATTTTTATTTTCAACTGAATGTATGGATAACTGACTATATATATATATATATATATATATATATATATATATATATATCTAGAGTTATAGGTATGTTTTATGTTCTAAAAAATGCCAGCCCGTTGTGGACGTGTTCATCGTTGAGGTCACTGTGGGGTGGCTCTTTTTATTATTAACAATATTTCCACCATTTTTAACGAGACACACACATATTATATATATATAAAGTCATTTTTATGTTTATACATTCTTTTTATAGATACAAATATTTAAGTAAATGTTCTGTTTATAATAAACAACATTTACCGGCATGAATGTACGAGAAATTTTCACAGAAAATATTCGTCCTCCGACAGGATTCGAACCTGTGTTGTTGGCAGTCTACACGTAACCGTCATTTAGCTTGACGTGACTTTACTGATTTGGCCACACAGGCTCGTTCGGTTAGCAAGGTCGTATTTACTGTATTTGAACATCAATCTTCTATGAATCTCTCACGTACAATCATATCTGCTCATGGCGTATCATATGTAAAAAAATGACGTCACAAATTATGAAATGGACAAAGTCCAACAATTAATTTTCAGACATTTTTATGTTTATAGATTCTTTTTGTAGATACAAATATTTAAGTAAATGATTTGTTTATTTATAATAAATATATATATTTATTTATGTTATATTATTCGATGTAATACACTGTGCAGAAGGATTAATCCTAAGCAGCAATTATTTTAAAAGACTGCCAACAACACATTAAAATTTAATTAACTTGTTGAACAATCCATTACGGGATCCTTGCACGTCACTTCATCAAGAAGTTGCCGGTTGGTTAAGCGATTTGATTGAAAACTCATAGGGTTATTGGTCAATGTATCTTTATTGGTTCTGAATTCAAACTTTTATTTTTCCTTGAGTAGTTGTCACCAGCATGTAGAGAGCCCAGTCTGTCCTGTAATTTAAGCCATGACAAGGCAAGGAAGAGATGGATCCCTAGCTTTTTTAAAGATATTTGCGCGTAAGTAAATGTAATTAACTAGACTGGAGTTCGACCATGACACTTTGATTTTTCTTTCCCTTACACCAAGCACATATCCTTTTACTTCCGTTGGCATATTGAGTATTATTGTAATTTGAGTTAAAATAGTTTATATAAAGTGTTTCAATTATCTTAAAACGTGTTTTACAATTAAATTTCGATTTAATAACATTATTATCGACAATCGTTTGTGTAAATGTCTGTGTGCTCATTCGTTTTGTTGCAAGAGACGCAGTATTTCACAGGTAGAAAATGGATAGACTACACTAGTGTTTTCATTTATTGTTATATTTGATTGGCATGTTGTTATTGGTAATAATTTAGTTAGCTGGTTTTAATTATATCGCAAAGTTTACGAGTTTTCTGGGACAACAGGTGATAATGATGGTCCAAAAAGTATCATGATGTAACCTTCAAATATTGTTTATCATCTTGAGAGAGGAGGGGGTTTATCATTATTGAATTATTTAGATGGGAACTGTTGTCCTTATAGTTGTTGAAGTTTAATTATAAACAAAAAAAATACCTAGAATTTGCTGAGATAAACACAAATTCTCAAACGTTGATATTAGACTGTTTCTAATGCAAACACCCATGTAAGTATAGATTATTTTGGACGCTGCAAAACTGTCGTGATCAGCTGGGGACCCTTTCAGTCTGCATGGATTAAATATACCCTCCGTCGTTGAGTTTGAATAATTTTAGTCAATACTTTAATTTCCATTGTAAAATCCTATTTTTATTATTTAATACTGATTTTTGAAGCGTAACTTAGATGTGGCACAAAGCAAATCGAACCCTCTTTCTAGTTGTAAATGTTTTAGCGAAACAACCTTGCTAACCATTACACCCCCCCTTTTTTATTTAATATGAAAATGAAATATGTGGTATAATTTTTCCGATACT